TACTACTCTCTCTCTGTGTTGGGTTACATTATTGTATCTAGCCTCTAGGCTAACCCTAACCATATCAAATAGTGACCATGCTTGCAGGGTACGTTCCGGTATATCGGACCGTACACAGGGTACGTTCCGGCAGTACCCTGGGGGACATAGACCCTTAGATACCATAATGTAACCCAAACCCTATCCTCTTGGGTTTGGGTTACATTATTGTATCTATTATAGACCCTATGTCTATGAGCCCAAGGGCCTGTATACTTTTGTACTTACGCATTGAGCTGTTTTCGTCATAACTCCGTGGGAAGCGAGTAACGTAACGTTTTACCAATGACTCAATTCTCAGACACACTACCTTTGCTTTAGTAATATAAGTTCACAGACGTATTCCTGCCGAATTTGAAACTCAAGGAAAGTCAACTAACTTTACATTACAACGTCGACGAACACAACAGTTTTACACAAAAGTAAACAACAAAGTTTACCGGCGACGGCGCTAACTGCGCATGTACAATGAATACGGAACAGGAAGTTAACAGTGGCAGCGGCGGCTATAAGGTCATGCTAAGGTCATATACATATATACATTATGATTATGCATACTGTACACACACATATTATCCATATATATATATATATAATATATATATAATATATATATATATATATATATATATATACATATATATATTCATTATTATGGTATACATTACATGCTCTGGTCATAGATATCTATATATATCAGGAGTGAATTTATTCACTCATGTAGGCCTATATATTATCAGGAGTGTATCAAAATCATTTTGATACACTCCTGATATTATCTACTCACTGACCTGAAGCTATTTGTAGCCGATAACTTTCTGTAAATGCCGTTCAAATGCTCCTCTGCAACACTGCCAACACACAAGTAGGCCTACGCGTAGTACAACGCGTAGTAGTAGTACAATGCGTAGTAGTACAACGCGTAGTAGTAGTACAACGCGTAGTAGTAGTACAATGCGTATAGTACAACATCGCACGCACGCACGCCGCTGTGCACAAACAACAAAATTACCGTACACAGAACAAAAATAACAACAACAAAAAACAAACAATTATTCAATAGCCTCGTTCACACGAGAACTCGTATTTATGAAATACTGTATTTGCGAAATACCGAATCTGAGACAAATACGCGGCCGAGCGTTCACACGCTGATTCGCGGCTCCAGTAATACGGTATTTGCGAGCTGCGAGCTGCGAGCAAAATACGTAGACTGGTCCGCGCTCGACAGTTCCACTCGCATTACACCTGGAACTGTCGAGCGCGGACCAGTCTATAAAATACGCGCCTTCAGAAATCCGGTATTTAGCGTTCACACGAGGAAATGCGCGGTCTAAGACGGAAATGCGCGGTCTATTAGACATCCGGTATTTCTCAAGCACGGCAAATTATTCGGGGTCTTGGGAAGCCGCGTATTTACATCAAATACCGGATCTGTTTAGATACCGTATTTCTTAGACCGCACATTTTGCCTCGTGTGAACGCTAAATACCGGATTTCTTGCTACGTGTGAACGCGGCTATAATTTTGTCGGTTCAGCTGGCAGTGCATCCGCAGTGCATATGGAAGCACACCCATTTATCCCCGCACCCATGCACGCACCTGCACACATTTCGGGGAGGGAGGTCAACGACACATCGCATATATATCAGAAGTATCTACTGATATATATGCATTTGCGTATGTATTTTTGCATAATATATATATATATCGCATGATTTTATATCCGCAGGATAGACCTGCATGGCCACAACCCTAGGAGCCTCTTGAAAGTGTTGAGGTCTGTAGCATAGCTGGCGGATGTTGTGGGGTAGTTGATCCGATAGACAGACGTCATTCTACCGAAACGAATGTTTCGCCATAAAGGTTATATTTTTTTTTATCACGTAGCCTATTTCTAATTATAATAGTAATTATCTGTTAACTATTCATGAAGAAATAGTAGGCATACATTTGAATATTTTCGCTAAGGCACATATGCATTGCCACTATAGTTATCAAAAAATGTGATTTTTTTAAATTGTTTTTTAAATTTTTATTTGTTAGTTTTGACCACAAGAGCCATTAAAACATGCATTGTAGACATTCCCTGCTAGACATTCCCTGCTAGACATTCACTTTCAATATGCTCCAGACGTCATAATTCCCCTTATACGTTGAGCATGTGCATGGGCGTACGTGCCCAGATTGGTACAGGTCGCAGGGCACATTGCGCATGACCATTGGGATTTTTCATGTGAAATATATGGGTTTAAAGGCGTTTGGCAATGTCGAATCTCTGCTATGTTACACCACCACTATACCACGGGGAACAATTATATGACGTACGGCTCGTAATATCAAGAGCTAATAATACCATTTAGGTATTATAAGCTTATAAGATAAGATAAGATAAGGAAGTTTATTTTATCACTTTCAATATCAGTAGATACAAGAATTTTTTAACAAAATATAAATAACGTGCAGTGAAGAGATGGCAAAAAGACCATACGGTCATCTAGTCAGCCAACCCTTAGAGAAATTAATTAAGTATAAAGGCATCTGTCAAAAGAATAAGATGTATGATGAGAAATATTTGAACAAAATTATTGTATATGATAACAATAAAACAAAAACAAAATTGAACATATTTGGAAATAGAACAAGCAGCAGACAGGAAGTTATCAAGAGCTAATAAATACCTAGAGTGTACAACGGGAAAACGGGAAAATACTGCCACTTCAGGGCAATACTACTCCACCTTGACTAAGTTCTGGTATTGCGCCAAGCAGCACTCTCTGCTCTCTAAAACAAGACCAACCGCTTGTCTCTACGATACTCCTAACCTGTATGATACAGGCGGTTCCGGTTCCGCTTCATTACACTTCACCGTAGATAGTGTAGTGAAGCGAAACATACCGCCTGTATCATACAGGTTACGATACTCCTAGGTCGAGATATTGGAGCGTAATCATGCCTCCCACAGGCCTCACGCCGCCTCGCATCCACAATATTCACTATCCTTCTCGTCTTTTGCGGGTCTGGTTATCGATTTCCGTCGCCGCTTGGAGCGCTGATAATTGATGTCACATGCATGCCCAAATTTGGTACTTTTAGGCCTACTACACCATAATTATAGTAACTGAGCTGCGTTGTAGAGACTTAATTTAGAAAACATTGCCGGCTCTATCAAGCCGTGCTAGGAGAGATAATGGGAGATAAGGGCATAGAAGGATAGTGAATATTGTGGGTGCGAGGCGCCGTGAGACCTGTGGGAGGGTATATATACTTATATACATTTTAGGTAATAATACCTAATAGGCCTAGGTAGTATTAGCTCTTGGTAATATCGTAATGGCTCTTTTACGGAATTCGTGAAATTGTGACTGTAGCTTAAAGGCAGATATCTCATATCTGACATGCGTCGCTGCTTGTTACGGGACTAGAGATTCTCTTCCCTAGCAGCAAACATTACGCGCCGAGTCAAAGATTGGATTTATACATTAGGTATAACACGCGATACGTGATAACGTATAAAAAAACGCGAACACGCGGGAGACGCACTAGACAGATTAGATCCTTGATCGTGAGCTACGAGAGGAGGAAGAGACAACTGTAACCTTCGTAGCAAAGCCGAGAATCTTGGTCTGTCGCGAAGAGAAAAAACAACAAAATTTAGCTCAAAACGCAAAGAGATGCGCACGATATTCTTATCTGGGAGACTTGTGTCACGGAAGACAGCACTCGCCTAATCTGTGTCACGGGAGACAGCACTCGCCTAATCTGTGTCACGGGAGACAGCACTCGCCTAATCTGTGTCACGGGAGACAGCACTCGCCTAATCTGACGAGATCTCGATATAAACCCGCGTTTGAGCTGCTTATAATTATCGCTAAAGGAAGATGAAGTATGAAATACGGTGTACCCGCTCTCCTCCTTCACCGGCGGCGGAGTACAGCTTACGTATGTACATTAACAACGTAATTAGTTACCAATTAATCCCATCGTTATGATAGTATCAGGAGTGTATAATAATAGACAATATATCTAATAATTAATAATAATTAATTAATAATAATTAATAATAGATCTATTATTATACACTCCTATAGTACCAATGCAGATGTCCCGCGGTAGATATTGCTACGCTCAGTCATTCTAAATTAATAATTATGAATTAATCATTCTGAATTAATATGGTCACTATACGGTGGAACGTGTGGTTCCTGGCGATTAACGGCAGAAAGAAAAACCTTCTCGCAATGGAATCTCCGAAGAATGCGCTTCGTTAATTAGCTAATATCCTTCTCGGATGTTTCTACACTTATCTGCTTTAGCATGCATCGGTTGACATGTCAAGCATGTTGAAACCCTAGTCCAAGCGCCTCCTAACCTGGTTTCATACACACTCAATAAAAAAGTACACGCGTACACTCTTGCATCGCCAGCTCCGGGGTTCATCATGTAATATAAAAATCGCTATGTCGAGTACAATCACAAATATCTCGATAGCTATAGGCAACGGGTACGGATACGGCAACAATAAACAGGCAACGGAATTCCTATATTGCTTCCTGTAGCATGCCTTGTACGCGCTGGTACACATAGTGCAGCGTACGCGCGGAGT